TGAAGGCTGCAGTCCTTGACCCTCTGCAGTAAGTGCATGAGGTCCTCCTCAGTTTCAGCGAGCAAGGTTGGGTCATCTGCATAACGCAGTTCAAATCCACCAGATGCTCTGCTGGAGGAGGAGGGGCAATCTCTTCCTGTACACACACAAACAATAATAAAATTAAAGTTAAAAAATTCTTAAAACTAATGTTTGGACATGTCTGTGAAAACTATAATTGTACACTTTGCTATTCTCTCAATTTTTACTCATCACCCCACATGTGCATAGTAAACTGCATTTCGTAGCATTTTCTGTGGCTGTGTGACCTTTTGTAAGTAATATGCAGGCCTGGGTTCTGAGGCACCTCTGGGTAGGTTAGAACCACCAGCCTGGGGAGCTCTGGTGGCCTAGTGGCAAGGAGCTGCAACTACAATCCCAGAGGCACACGGTTCGAATCCACCAGATGCTCTGCCGGGAAAAGGAGGGACAATCTCCTCCTGTACCAGTCAGATCTGATTTGACGGTACACTCACACAAAAATAAAAAAAAAAAAAGAACCACCAGCCTTTTGTTAAGTAGTTGAACACTTAGCATTTCTGTTACTCAGGGATGCGAATTTATTGTTTGCTATGTGAATTTTATCTCAGTAAAGTTGCTGAAAAAGAAAACAATACCTTAAAAAGAATTCAGATTGCCTTTATCTGAACATTTACAAATTTTTTTTTCCTTCCCACACAAATAAGATTCCCATTATGTGACATAATCTTTGGGGGAAGGTGTAGGCATATATGCAGAGAGATTGAGAGGCTCACTAATTGCACTACAGTTGGGGAATCACCTGGGGATACCTTCCTGCTAAAAGCAGGACCACTTGCTGGCCAGGTTCACTCTGAGAAAGGATGTTTTGCCAACTTCTCCCTCAAAGGGGTGAGTCCAGTGATCCTGAGTTGTAAGAGTAACCTCAATTCCTCCTGCTTTGAGGGGGCTTTTTGTTAGCAGGAAACTCCAAGTCTGGCCCTGCTGCTGCCTTTTGGCAGTTTGGGCCCATTATACCTGGGGTGTTGGGGCAAGAGCCTTTCAGAGCAGAGTGAGGCACAGCACACTACCAGGAGCTTTGTGAGTGAGAAGGAAGATGAGGGAAACTTTGCCTGCATCCTGCGTAGAAGTTTGACAGACTTAGCCAGGGCAATATAAAACCACTTCTTTCAGCTGCTTGTTTTTTTTTAATTTTTATTATTATTTTAATAGACGTTTACAGAGGTTTTGGATTTCCATTCATTCATTGCCGCACTTTTCTCCCTGCCCACCCCTCCCCACCAGCTCGCTTCCCCCTCCAAAGAGAAAAAAAT